TGTGCAACCAGAAATAAACAGGTTCAAAATTCTCTGGTGCTCAAAAGAAGATATCTCCTGTGGGTTGCTGGGTTTGTAGGGCTGCTTGGTGGCCAAATGAAATTTGGCTCTGGAGGTGGCAGAAAAGGCTTCCAAATCTAACTCACTTTGGTTTTCTGAGGGATGGTATTTTTATATTCAGCAGCAATGTTCAGTAGAGAATGGCAAGAGAGGACACACAGTCTTAAAATTCTGCTTAGGTTCAAGGGGAAATAAAATCAGTGTTACCCACCCATTCAGATGGCTGCTTTGCAGGGATTGGCTGAATAAGAAGCAACTCCCAGATTACCAAAAGTATCTGAAAATACCTGGTTGGTGTAAACAGATCCAAAAAGGCATTTAGTGGCACCAAGCACCTACCCCCTCAGTAAGAACTACAGGCACCTAATGTACTCACATATGTTTAAATGCATCTTTCAGGGCTCACGTCCCTTTGGAAATCTTACCCTGGTTCACCTTGGGACCTCAACATCGTTAAGGTCTCCTAGTAACAGGCCAGGAATGTTGTTGTTAGTACCGGGATAAGTGACCAAATTTTAGTAGCAGTGTTTATTGTAACGGAGGGGCAGGGGTATTGTATATCTTCAGAGCATTCATAAGATGTACTCTGTATGTGTTTTTTCTTTTCCCCAGGCCCGAGTGCTTGCCAAGTAACAGCGGGTCAGGAGCTTCTAAAGGCTGTGAGGCTGCTGTTGTCAGAGCCAAGCGCTGTGTCTCAGCTGTCCAGCATTTACCTCCCACAGTGTGATGCCGAGGGCGCCTGGAGGCAGGTGCAGTGCAGTGGCCCTCCCGAGCAGGCCTTCGAGTGGTACGAAAGGTGGATTGCAGAGAACAACGAGGGCCAACCCCTGCCCATTGCTGATCTGCTGAGCATCATAGCTGGATATAAAGAGGCGTCATCTAAGGGCTTTTCAGCTTTTGTTCAAGCTTTGTACGAGGCTGAGCACCAGAATGTCTTTCCCACATTTGCCCCGTACTCCTCCTTCACGGATCTCCCACCTGAGGTGCTGGAGGGAAACTTGACCACAGCATCTGAGAACGTTTTGCTGGATCCATATACTTTCTGGCAGCTTCTGAATGGGCAGCTGACATATTACCCAGGACCCTATACTGATTTCAGTGCTCCATTGGGCCACTTTGAACTTCGTGATTGCTGGTGTGTTGATAGCAAAGGAGAAGAGCTGCAAGGAACAAAGGCAGGAGTGAATCAGGTTCCTGCATGTAAGTAACAATTTCTGGCACATAAGTAGTACTGTTTCTGGTCTTTTATGTCATGAGAGAGGGAAGTCCTTTCAATTGTTGTGAAGTAGCAGACAAGTAAGTTGTCAGAGAGGTCATCAGTACTGACATTATTGCTGGACATCAGAGGTGGGGTTACTCATTTCTGGTAAATAAGTGGTGCCTCAGCTTTGGAAATAAATAGGAATAAAGTTGCATTTCAAGTTTGTGTAGATTTTATAATTTGGAGCTTGGACATATAATGCTTTTACAGAAGATACTTAGCCAGATGGCAAAGGACACTTTGAAGTCAGGAAGTGTGAAGAGTTGTATGGAAAATTCAGGATTACACAGTGATGTAAATGACTTTCAAGAATGCCTTAAAATGAAGCAAGAGGGATTTTCTTTGCTGATTCTTACTATGTGGTCAAGACTAACAGATATCTTCTTGAAGTCACTAGGAGAAGAGTGAGGCCATCATCAGCAAATTTGCAGATGACACCAAGTTGGGAGGGAGTGTCGACCTGCCGGAAGGCAGGAGGGCTCTGCAGAGGGATCTGGATAGACTGGAGAGATGGGCTGACTCCAATGGGATGAAGTTCAACAAGGCCAAGTGCCGGGTCCTGCACTTTGGCCACAACAACCCCCTGCAGCGCTACAGGCTGGGCAAAGAGTGGCTGGAGAGCAGCCAGGCAGAAAGGGATCTGGGGGTGCTGATCGACAGGAGGCTGAACATGAGCCAGCAGTGTGCCCAGGTGGCCAAGAAGGCCAATGGCATCCTGGCCTGCATCAAGAACAGTGTGGCCAGCAGGAGCAGGGCAGTGATCCTTCCCCTGTACTCTGCATTGGTGAGGCCACACCTTGAGTATTGTGTTCAGCTCTGGGCCCCTCAG